GTCTTCACACACCAGCCCACTTAATGCACACAGCAGGCCCGTGAGGAAGGCACTGTGAGCCCCACTTTATAACTGAGGACATTGAGGCTAAAGAGGGATAAGCAGCTGAGCCCCGCCCTGGGGCCAGCGGCAGCGCAGCGCTGTTGGTGCAGCCGGTGCCTGGGACAGGCCAGGCACACTCCAGTGGGCACCTCCCTGTGAGAAGTGGAGTCATGTCATGGTCCATTTGGACCATGAGATACACATCTCATGTGGAAAACAAGAAGGTGACGTCCAGGAGGTCTGGCAACTCAGCCTGTTGACAAGAAGTGGGTGGCCTTTTGCTTCACTCTGAGTACTTGCCTCCGTCTTGGGCCACTCTGCTTCCTCTTGCAGAAGTGACTCCACGCTTCACATTAACTCTTCCCATTCCCTTTGCCATCCAACTCCTGCTTCGTTGGGGTTTTTCCTTACTATCCACCTGCCATTGACCTGTGCAGCAAAGGCAGTGTGTTTCCTCTCAGAACCGACTTAGTTCAGCACACAGAGTATCAGTTGCTAACATCCATGTCATTGGCCTGTCTTCTTGCCATATGTGGATTTGTCCCATTGAGACCAGTGCTACACACTGTCTTTTTGTTTTGTTTACCGTGGCCTTAAGACTCTTAGTAACTCCGCAGCATTTAGGGAGCTGAGAGCTTTTAGGTAGAACATTCATCAGAAAAATTATCATGGGGAAGCAGGATTTTTTTTCTGGTTCTGAAATAACAGTCATTATATTTGAATGTTAAAATTCAGCCGCTGCATATGTTGGTGTCATTTTATTTAAGCTCTAAGTTTGATGATACTCTATAGAGTAAAAATGTTCATTAAAATCTTCTGGATCTATATGCAATTATTTGTATAAGGTATAAACATTAAATATCAAAATTAAATATCAAAGTATTAGCAAACTAAGCTAATAGCAATACTTTCTTTTTTCTTGGGTGTTTAATGACTACACCTTCTGACCAGCTATTCTTGTTTGTGGAATGCCCAGTCATTAGTGTCTGGAAACTAACCAGTCCCCTCAATATAATAATCTCTTCCAGAAGCTTCTAGAAATGTGCCCACTAGAGGAAGGGCTCCTTGTGTGGCTCCCCCACAATCTCACCCATAGTTTAGATCCATTCAACTCATAGGCCATATTAGAGAACACCTCTCCTTGATAGTATCCCAGGACTTAAAGGTTATGTACAACATTTGTTTAATTTCTATATTGATGACAACTGTGATTAAATCACACAATAAATGCCTAGAATAGCATTTAACTAGTGTTCGGTTCATTTTAATTTAATATAACTACTACTATAGTTGCGTTTAAGTCTACCATTTAACTGTGTGTTTTTTATTTTTCCTATTTGTTGTTTGTTCCTTTATTCCTCCTTTCTCCATTTGATTTAATAAAGTATTTTATTCCATTTTTCTCTTCTGTTTAGCTCTTTTTTTTTTGTCTTTTTTCATGACTGGTAACGGGATCGCAACCCTCGGTGTCGCGCCCGCACCGTGCTCAACCAGTGAGCGGACCGGTCTCTATATGGGATCCGAACCCTCAGTGGGAGCGCCGCAGCGCTCCCAAGCGCCACACTCTACCGAGTGCGCCACCGGGCCAGCCCCCTGTTTAGCTTTTTAGTTGTACATTCTCTTATTAATCTTTTAGAGGCTACCTTGTAGATTGCAATAGCATTTTTGACTTACTTCTCCATCTTATAATACTTTTACTATCTCCCAAAGAATACAAAAAAAAATTGATAACAGTTTAACTCCATTTACCCCCACCCTGTATGCTATTATCGTTATAAATTTTGCTTCTCTATATATTACAAATCCCAGTGGATATTATTACTCTTGCTTTAAATAATTTTTTGTTTTGTTTACCCGCATATCTATCCTTTCTGGGGCTCTTCATTCCTTCCTACTGTCTGTGCTGTTCTAGAATCTTTCTTTCAGCATAAAGCACTCTGTTAATTCTTTCTTATAGTACAGGTGGGTTGATGACAATTTTCTCAGCATTTGTTTGTTTGAAAAAACTTTATTTTGCCAATCCTTTTTGAAGGATATTTTCCCTGGATACATACTCTAGGTTCCACGGTTTTTTCTTTTGGTCCCTTAAAGTTTTCTTTCTGTTGCCTTCTGGCTTTCATAGTTTTCTGTTGAAAAGTCATCTGTCAGTCTAATTATTGCTCTTTTGAAAGTTACTGTGTCTCTTTTCCTCTGACTGATTTTCTTTTTGCCTTTGGTTTTTAGCTTCTTGTCTATGATGTGCTTAGGTGTGGTGGGGGTTTTTTGTATTTTTCTAGCCAGGGGAGGGAGGGTTATTTGATTGTTTTTGATAGATTCCATCTTTCTGTTGAAATTCATCTATTTGAAGATGATTTGAAAAATGCCCTTGGAGAAATTCCAGAATGAATGTGATGCTCAATTCATATACTTTTTTCTCAAGAATTGTAGCTCCTTGAATTCTCTCTCTGTTGGTGCACTCCAGTGTCTTCAAATAGTATTTTATATATTTTGTACAACTTGTATAGTATTTTCGGCTGCTGCATCATGGCCAGACTTGGAACTTTTCGATTGCTATTGTCACTTAGGGTTTCATGAATGATCCTGATGAATGATTTCAGTATTGGTTTTCTCTACTAAATCTGTTGTTTTGAAGAAAAAAATAAGCAATTTGTGGTTTTAAATAATGTCCCCCACTCCCATCCCTTTCTAACCAGTTTAGAAAAACAAGCTAATCAGATATTTAATGTGTTTTTTAAATCTATTTATACCTGACTTTCCCCCATATTCTTATATAATACCTTTTAGGACCACGATCAAGGATTCCTAAGGTATCATCCAGGTAAAAATAACAGACTGTTCAAATTGGTACACCATCCCTTGATGCTATTCTGTTGTACAAACAGTATGGGTATTTTTGTGATTCTTGTTACAATGTGCGGTTCAAAAATATCTCACCAGTATATGTATGCCATACACATAGTTACTGTTTCACTCCCACATCACTGGGTTGAGGCACCTACCTCCTCTTCCCAGTTCTCTGCTAGTTCATTTAACTCATGTATGGAATTCCTGCTACTTTCAGGACATAGTGCCGGGCTGAGTTAGGATAGGTATATAAAATAATTGATGAGATCCCCCTTACCCACAAGTAGTTCTTATACCGTTGTGTAGGTGAACCAGGCACATACATAAGTAATCCTACATAAAGGCAAAATGTGTCACAATAAAGGAATAGATAGGTGCTGAATTATTAATCCTGCAGTCTTCTTTAGCTTCCTGTACTTCTTACCCATTTTTTTAATTATTAAATTAACAAGGGGTTTTTGAACATAGTGGGTGAGAAGAGAATCATTTTAATTTAAAAAAAAAACTATACCAAAACAAAACAATTTTCTAAAAGAAATATACATTTTACTATCCCAGCTCCTTAATATTGCAGTTTAATTTTTTGCCTATATCTCTTTGATCTTGTCCACTTAAACATATATTTTATACAATTATCATAATGTAATTTCACATTCTGCATTTTTCACTGTCATAAACCTTTTTTTTTTTTTTACTTCAACATAGTCTTCATATTTATACTGTTTTAATTACTATTTGATACTCTTTTCTTATTGGTGCACTGGTATTTAACAAGATTTCTTTTGTTGGGGAGTAGATATTTTTCCAGTTTTCAGTATTAGAAATAATGCCACATTGAACATCTTAGGGTCAGGAATACCACTCCTAAAATAATTCAAAACAGAAAAAGCTATTACCCAAACAGTATGAATATTTTTGTGATTCTTGATACGAGCTATGGTTCAAAAATATTTTATTTTTATTTATTTATTTATTTATTTATTCATTACATTTTTGCAGAGCGGGTCGAGGGGAGAGTCAGGGCTGGCCCACAGCTGGCTCCTTCACTGGCCTGGTTGTGGATTATGGGGGGACATGGCTGAGGCCTCGGGCCCCCCACCCCACCCCAACTCAGGAGCTGAGGGAGCTTCCTGCAGTGGCTGGGTTGTGGCTAAATTCAAAAACTATTTTATGAATTTGTGGTACCACCAGTGTTTTTATAACAGTGCTTACATTAGGAACTATAACCTAAAAATACTGGCTTATTTAGCAGCTATAATAATACTTTAAATTAATTTTAATTTGCATTTCTTGGATAATTAATAAGGATAAACTGTTTTCCCTATGTTTATTTGCTATCTGCATTTAGAGGAACATTTTCAGCACTGAACTCTGGGGTGTTAATAAATCATCAAGTGGGCTGGAGAGTTAGCTCAGTTGGTTAGAGCAGTGTTATAACACCAGGGTCAAGTACTAGCCAGCTGCCCCCCACCCAAAAAGGCAAAAAGTAAATCAAGTATGATACTTTTGGGTATCCCAAAGGATATTTGTTATGAGTGTTAAATGTAACACTGTATGTTAACATACTGTGAGCAGTGCCTGACCTGTAACAGGCACACAGTGAATGTTTGTCTCCAGAACATGTCAAAGTGCAAGTATATTACACCTTTTCTTTCTCGGCCTTGAAGAAATGAGAAAGTATGCTTGTTTGTTTTGTTATTGAATATATTTAAAACATTTTCATTTCAAGTAATTTGATATAATTTCAGTGTTTTCAAATGAATTAATAACCACATACAGGAGAAATTAGACTCTGAAGTTTAATTCTTTTGTATGGTTTTAATTATATAAAGTCTCTATATAAGAGCTTTTAAATAGAATAAGAACAAAAACTTGAAGTTAATTGCTTTGTATCAGTTTCAAAAACTAATCTCCAATTGCTGTGTGCCTTTAGATATAATACAAAAGAATTTTTGCTGATGTTAATAAATGCAGTTATTTTCATCTTATCAAATTTACAAAACTTATCGTTGAAGATAACTGATAAGATTTGGTTGAGTATTTTAGCCGAAGGTATTTTTCTTCCTGCTACACAGAGTTTAAAAGTACGTTTTGCTTCTGTTATTTTTCTTCAGGTTAAAAAGGCCTTCTTTGCCTTGGTCGCCAATGGTGTTCGAGCAGCGCCGCTGTGGGAGAGTAAAAAACAAAGTTTTGTAGGTAAGCAGTGTGGACCTGGGGAAAAAGCTAACATGGGAAACCTTAAAAGCAGAATGCCTGAAGTATTTTAATAGGTGCTGGTTTGGAATTCAACCTAGTAAACAGGTTGCCAAATTAAAGAACATTCTTGCTTTTACATGCTGGGCGAGGTGGGGCTGCTAGGAAACTCAGAACACTGTTCTACTTTTTTTGAGTCCTTTTTTTTTTTTTTTTTTTTGGTTGAGTTTCTTTTGATTTAGCTACCTGTGGGCTCTCTGAAGGAGCTTCTGTGCCTTTCCCAGCCCAGCGAACAAAACCCACACTGGGCACCATGGTCAGACCTGAGGCGGCCCCCTTGTTCCCAGGCTAGCCAGCACACGTGTGCCACCCACGTGTTAGTGTGTATCCCCCTTTCTGACAGACAAACAAAGAGGTGTAAACGTGACTAATCAGTACTAAACTATTAAAAATAGTGTGTAACTCAAAGCTATTTAAACGCCATCATTTCTCATCGTATAAATCATAGGAAACAATGCACACTGCCTCTCAGTGTCCATCACATCATTTTGAAATTACCTGTTTATGTCTGCCTCCCCCTAGGTTACAATTTCTTCAAGTTCATATCTTTTTCATCTTTATTTTCCTAGTGTCTAGCACATAGTAGGCACTCAATAAATGGTAACCATTAAAACCATTGTTTTTAGAATGCTTTTCAGGAAACAATCCAAGTGCCCCAGAAGTGTCATGGAATATTTTTTCTTATTCCAAAGTGTTTTAAAGCTTGTGGAAGAAGCTTATGGAGTACTTTTTCATCTTATATTAAAGTATTTTGAATTATTTACATGTAGCTACAAGGTTTTTTTGGTATTTTATAAGAAAATTAGTAAGTTTTCTCTCATTGACTTGCCAGATACTATGATTTATTTCATTGTGCTTAGAATCAGGTTAATTTCAGCTAAATTCGTATATCTAGTTTGATGTAGACAATTAACACATTGGTAGTTTTAAATAATATATTAAACTGTACTTGATATCTTTGAAGTATATTTTACCACCTTTTCTAGTAAATATTCCAGGTTCAGTTGTCATTTGAAATTTTTATTTTTATGTTTTTATAGTTTTATTTTTAACATATAATTCTTTGTTCCAGGAATGCTAACAATTACAGATTTCATAAATATACTGCATAGATACTATAAATCACCTATGGTAAGTGGCAGCAACCCTTACAACAGTAATTGGAGCTGTATATGTCTATATGCGTATAGAGGTGTGTGTATTTTAAGATTTGGGGTTTTTTTCCTCTTTTGGGACAGGGTAATGTGGTAGTGGTTAATTTTCCAAATGCAGCAGTCCTCCCTTATCTGCAGGGGATACATTCCAAGATCCCCAGCGGATGTCTAAAACCACCGGGTAGTACCACACCCTTACTGGCATGGCAGCAGATGTCCTGGTGTCACTCACTTCAGGGGACCCCTTACTGGAGTCTTCTGTAGGTTCAGTGCTTTCTGGTGCAACATGTTGCCATCGATCAGAACATGTTTCTATTCGTGTCTTCCACCCACAGAGTTCATCTTAAGCATTTTCCATCTTAACTAAGCATTTATCATGCCTAGTGGTCCTAATTTTTGCAGTTTGAGGTACAACAGCAAAACTTGTAGACTTCTTTTACCATCTTCACAATTTCAGGAATAGGAGATTCTTCTTACCGTAGGTCATAGCAACCTCAGCATACGATTTTTTTTTTCTTTCCATATTAAGTCCAGAACTTTCACCTTTTCACTTAAAGGAAGCACTTTACGGCTTTTCTTTGGCATATTTGAACCAGCAGCATCACTCCTCTTACTCTTCAGGACCATTTTTAAGTAAAGTAAGGGTTATTTGCACACAAGCGCTGTGACACCACGATAGTCGATCTGATAACCCAGACAGCTACTAAATGACTAAAGTGCAGGTCATGTCTACAGTGCAGACACGCTGGACAGAGGGAGGATTCATGCCTCAAGTGGAACAGAGCGGGGTGCCGTGAGATTTCATCACACCACTCAGAACGGCATGCGGTCAAACACTTACAAATTGTTTATTTCTAGAATTTTCCATTTAATACTTTCTGACCACTGCTGACTGCAGATAACAAATCTTGGAAAGCAAAATCACAGATAAGGGGGGGACTATTATGTATATAGTGTTCAGGAAACTTCAGTATAAAACTACTAAACAGCTTTACCCTAAGTTGTATATTTGAAGCTTGAGACAGGTATTCTCAGGAAAGGTAAAGGAAATAGCCTCTTTATTTGGCTTTTAGAATTGCTTGGGTTAGTGGAATTCTACATGCTTATTTATTACCTAGACGTCCTGTAAGTTTCACTAAATTCATGTTACTTGATCACTAACAGCATTATGGGCATGTGACAGTGTTGAGAATCAGCCTCGGACTATGAACGAAGGAGTCCCTGCCCCCAGTGGACTCTTCTCTGGGCAGATGACCCCATGGTGGCCTCACTCTTGAGATAAGATGGTCACAAGGATCTATCATTTCAGGCCTGGTGGTGTGCAGAGAGCTCGATGCAGCTACCCCAGCAATTTTATAACAAGAACTGTACGAGGGTACTTCACAAAGTTCATGGAAGGATTCATATTACTTTTCCACAAACTTTTCAAAGTACCCTTATATGTGCTTTGTGATTTTAAAGAAAAAAAGAAGTACTTAAAATGGAAGAAGTTCAGTTTTGACATTTTTCTGCCAATTAGGAAAAGACTGCTACTGGATAATTTTAGTGGCAGAACATTCTGGTCCCTAGTCCCACTATTCTGTTAGAGCATAGCTTGAAACCCACTTACATCCTTTATCTAACGCTATGATTTCTGTGGTTCTGCCAGGTTGGTTTTCTTTTGTGTGTTTTTGTTTGTGAGGATAGGGAAGGACAGAATTGTATACTTTGTTTATGTAACTAATGCTATTTTGGGTGTCTAAAAGGTGTAAGTCAATCCAGTTAATACTATTTTTATGTGTAATAGTACTGTCAAATAATTAAATCCCTACATACAATATGAAAATGAGTTTCTTTATAAGACATACTCTTAGAAGGAAGTTTTACCAAAGATTTTGTAAATATTCTGATTTCTTTTTTTTTTTTTTTTCCTTTTTGTCTTTTTTCGTGACCGGCAACGTATCGCAACCCTCAGTGTCACGCCCGTACCGGACCGGGACCGGCTACGGGATCGCAACCCTCGGTGTTGCTCCCGCACCTCGCTCAGCCAGTGAGCAGATACTTTTTTTTTTTTTTTTTTCCTTTTTGTCTTTTTTCGTGACCGGCAACGTATCGCAACCCTCAGTGTCACGCCCGTACCGGACCGGGACCGGCTACGGGATCGCAACCCTCGGTGTTGCTCCCGCACCTCGCTCAGCCAGTGAGCGGCCGGTCTGTATGTGGGATCCGAACCCTTGGCGGGAGCACCGCCGCGCTTCCCAAGCGGCGCACTGTAGCAGTGCGCCACCGGGCCGGCCCTAAATATTCTGATTTCTTAACTATTGCCAATGCAAGTGAATACTGGTTTCCCTTACAATGGATATCTCTCTCTGCTTTTGGACTAGCAAAATTGACACAAGTATGATTTTTAAATGATTAGACTTTGATAAAATGCAGCCAAGTCCCATATAACAAGTCTTAACCACAGTTTATTAAATCAGAATTGCTAAAAAAAAAAAAAAAAAAAGCAGTTATATCTGAATATATAGCCCAAAGTTTTTCTTAATATTTGAGGATAAATTTTTTCTAATTATGAACAGAAAAATGTTTTATGAAAGCTATTTTATTTCATTTTTCAAGTATTTATTTATTCTTAAGTTGTATATGTTAACATTTGTAAATAAGAATTTTTCTTACTTGCAGGTACAGATTTATGAATTAGAGGAACATAAGATTGAAACATGGAGGGGTAAGTACTGTTGGGTGTTTAAAATCTTTTAATATCAGGGAAAAAATATTCTTAATGCATATAGTATGTTTTACTTTTGCCAGTCCTTTTCTCTCTGCTTAATAAAATGTTAAAGCATTTGCCTTCTACTTATTTCTATCTTAATTTGATAGTGTGCCATGGTGCTATAAATATCGTCCATTCTGTTTAAGAGACGTGTATAGAGCGCCCACAGCGCACAAGGCCTCACACTAGGGGAAGACTAGAGAGACGAATGAGCTAACTTGCACCTTCATTGCTGTCCCCAGAGCTGCCCTGTTCACTACTAAGTATTATTCTCAAAAATTTGCCCTTGAATAGAAAATGCACCAAAGGCATGCTGACTTTAACAAAAACAAGCATCTGTTTTTATTGAAACTAAATAATTATTTCTTTACAAATTGTGGAGAAACACAAAACAAGTGAACCTTGAACTAACTAGATGATTGGATCAAGTAACATGGAAATAACTTCAAGACCCCTTTTTTTTTGTCACATTGAAATTCACCCTTTAAAATCATAGTTCTCGGGGGCCGGCCCGGTGGCGCACTGCTACAGTGTGCCGCTTGGGAGCGCGGTGGCGCTCCCGCCGAGGGTTCGGATCCCACATACAGACCGGCCGCTCACTGGCTGAGCGAGGTGCGGGCGCAACACCGAGGGTTGCGATCCCGTTGCCGGTCCCGGTCCGGTACGGGCGCAACACTGAGGGTTGCGATCCGTTGCCGGTCACGAAAAAAGACAAAAAGGAAAAAAAAATCATATTTCTCTTTTCTGCGTGGACTATTTTTTAAATTCTCATTTCGTGATTGTGAGATTGGTCATCTTAATGAGGCTTATCACAGTGGGTGGAAACCACCCAGGACCCAGTCTGCTGGAATGGAAGAGCTTTGTAGGAAGTTCAAGGAGAAGCCTGGGTGGGAATGGAGGGACCAAATGAAGGAAAATCTTGAATTTGAAACTGAGGAGTCTGACTTTGCCCTACCCATAATATGCTTAATAGAATAAGCAACCTTTGTAACTGGCTGTCAAATCAGAACATCCGTTAGAGTTCTCTAAAGCTCCAGGGGCTCTTTTAAAATTCCATGTGAGGTAGAAGTTTCATTGAGTGATATACTTATTTATTATGGCTTTGTCAAGCCAAGCTAAACAAATTAAGTCAACATGGGATCCATATGGCCTATTATGAAGTGATTACGTAACTTAACACCAAGATAGATACTTCTTATCGAATTCTACTGCACAAGTACTGTTAGATCAAGGTTTAAGTATATTTACATTTTGATATTACATGGTATTGGTAGTAATAATAATGCCAAGATATTCTTAAGTGTGTGCTGTATACAAGCCTCAATGAAGCAAATTAATTACAGCCCATATCTTTACAAAGAAAATTTCTATATGCTAGAAAGATTCCCACAATATAATAGGTTTTGAGCATTAATTTAGTAAAATAATAGTTAAGAACATTTAAAGGACAAAGATTGTTATATCTGACTTTATCTTGTAACTTATACAAATTAATTTTAAAGGATTTCATGAATGCTTCATTTCTTGAAGGTAATATTAATTTGATAACATTCTACTGACCTCTGCTGGTACTGCTCTTTTATGAGATTTCTTGATGTTTTTTTCTGATTTTATAAACATTTATTATTATATTGTTTTTTAAATATTTAATTTTTCTTCAAAGTCAACATCCCAAAAACAGTTTGGAAGTTGTTTAAAACAGCCATAACTGTAATTAACATAATAGTTTTGGGTAAATTAAATTTCTTTTGATTTGGGTTTTTAATCCTTCTAATTATTATCTGTAAACTGAAGGATATTTGAATTTATACAATAACTACAAACAGGAAATATATTACTAACTGTATATTTTCTTTCTATAAATACAGAGCTTTATTTACAAGAAACGTTTAAGCCTTTAGTGAATATATCTCCAGATGCAAGGTAAACCTGTAGTTTTTTTCTTTGAAAATATTCACTCAAATGTATCTGTTTTATTGCCATAATAGATAGGAAGAAAGAAAGAAACCAACATGTTCTTCAATCTAGATGGGGCCAGCCTCCTTAATTCCAAATACTACATTCAGTAAACTTAGGGACAATAGATATCACAGCCACCATTGGTCCAAAGGATTGATAACGACTAGGAATATGGTCATACTAAGCATTTTTGAAAATTCCAGGTCACCTGCAGCAGAATCAGTATAGGCAGCTTGTAAAAATTGCAGATTCAGGTTTTTCAAGATGGCGACGGGTCTGGAGCGGGCGTGCCAGAGGACAGAGCGAGCCTGAGAAGTGTGCGCTGTGCTGCCAGAGTACTATTTGCATTTCCAAGAGCAACAAAAAACAAATAAATCACTGATCAACTAATCTACAATGAAAAAAAGCAACTACAGTCTCGAGGTTTTAGGGCTGATGCAAAAGAAGATTCCTGAGAGCGCCGCAACCGCGCCGGGAGACCGAGCAGCCCAAGGCAACAAAGGGCAGCGGCGATGCAGAGACGGAGAGGAAGGCGTGGGACTGACCCAGCTCTGGGAGCTTTGTGAGCGGCCCCCAGACCAGCCCCGCTTGGGGGGGAAAGGCCCGCCGGGCCCCCGCTTACCACACCAG